CCAAACAAGCGTGTTGGTGTCCTGCACATCTGTGTCATTCAGAGGAAACAGGTTTGAGAACAGGTGAGAGAAAACTAAAAAAGACAATGAAGAGAAGAAATTCTCACAAGAAAATTAAAAAATGTTGAAATTCTACATTTAATTTATCTCAAGTTTATTTTTTAATCTTTAAAAAGTAATTTCTGAAGTTTTACACGCGAGGAAGAAATGTCTGTAACAAAACAATTCCCATAGAGTATTCTGGAAAATATGGAAGCTTTTCCATTTGTTCTTGTGTTTACTCAGGTTGCTGAAAGCGGTCCTGGTACTGAGGTGCCAGGTTAAATTTAATTAAAGAGTTTAAGGAGTAAAACAGAATCACTGTTACTCTCTTCATCAAGTAACAAAGTAACAAAGTAACAAAAACAAACAGTTGGTATAAATGTTTGTCTGCAAGCTGCTTTGCAACCCCACTCTGCTTCAGCTCCTTCTTCAGCTGTTTCTGACTTCATCAACATCATATTTGTGTTTCCTGATGGCTCCTGTCAATCATTCTTGTTTCCATGCATACCTGGTCACCCTTCTCCTCCTTGATGCTCGCCGCCTCGAAGCCCTCCCTCTCTGACGGCACCCACACCATCTTTTTAGCTGCCCAGTCGGCCTGGGCCACGCCGCTGTTGCGGAAGTCGTTTTCCAGGAAGAGGTACTTGTCGTCGGTGTCGGCCATGTTGGCGGTCGGATCGACCTGCGGGTCAGCAGCGGCGGGATCGGAGTCTAATGCTGGTGGTTCGGAGGCAGTGACGCTGACGTTTGAATCGTCGATTGGGACCGGCTCAGATATGTGAGTTGATTTGACCTCTGACCTGCTGACAAATCAAACATGTGAATTAAAAAAGACACTTTTTCTTTCTCTGCTTTTTTATATTCACTGCAGTTTTAATTTTGCCTTATTGTACTTATAAACCTGCCATTTATCTATTTTTATGCTGCTACAGGTTCAGGCTGCTGGATGATTTCCCATGATGCACTGAGGACCTCTTTTCACGTGTTCACATTTTTATATCTATTAACTTGTGTCTTTGCTCCCATGATTGTTTCTGTGTCTCTCTGTTCCTCTTCTCAGACCCCTCCCTGAGCCTGATTCTGCTGGAAGTGTCTTCCTGTTAAAAAGGAGTTCTTCTTTCCCGCAGTTGCCAAGTGCTGCTCATCAGGGCTTGATCTAATTGCTGGAGTTTTCTCTGTAATATTACATGGTACTTACCTTACAGCACATGCTTCATATCATTGGCCTTTTGCAAATTTTATTCCATCCAACACTTTGCTTACAGGATCGTACCTGTGCTCACCTGCATGCCAACAAGCTATCTAATGCATTACAGAAACAGAAAACAGTTGCAGTAGACTTCTGTGTATCCATTCACCCATAACTGAGATTGTCTTCAATCGAGCCCAAAGTCAGTGTTACGACACTCTAAAGGAAAGCTTTTATCGGCATCCAGTTTCATCCCAGAAGGTTAGACAGTTTAGTCCATGTAAATTACAACATTTATTTTATTTCCCTGAAACTTCCTACACACCCCCTGAGCTCATTATTTTTGTTTTTATATCAGGATGTTCTTGGTTTTATTACATCAGATGATGAGTAGCTGTCATATACCGGCTTGTGTGGAATCTTATAAAACTGTAATTAAAGTGAATTATTTTGCATATAGAGGCTAATATGGTGGTTTTGTTGAGCCCAGTGCATCCCACTAACAGCCCAGAGTCATGGCATAAAGAACTGGTGCTCTATAAAAGAAAAAGGAGTTTCAAACTTCCAAATTTAAAAACAGCAGCTCACAACTTAAAAAAATAAAATAAAAATAAATCCATCTCCTGGTTACTCCGTATTTTTCCACCTGCCAGCACCAGGACTCACAGCAGTGTGTGCGTTGCAGATAATTATGTTTCCAGCACAAGATTCATATTTTATATTTTGGGAGTAAAAAAGACCAATTTTAAAAGAAAAAGACCTTGTTGGAGGCATTTTTTCCCCATACGGACTACTGTTGATGTGTTTTTATTTTTTTTGTGCTTAATAACTATTTCATGCCTTTACTGAACAGGACAAATGCATAACTTGTTCAGTTTTCTGAAGGAAACAACTACGCATACGGCTTCAGCACAACTTGATTTAAAGAGCAAACTATTTTGTAGCACAGTCTCACACAGCATCAAGCAGAGGAGGACAAATAAAAGCATCTTTCTCACAGACTTCTGAAACCTTTCAGGGGCCTGTGCAGCACATAAAGGCTAGGAAGTGATGAAGACACGCCAGCATCAATAAAACCGACTCATTAGCTCATTTTTCTGCCTCACGCTTCCTGTGCCTCCAACTGCTGCCTTTCCATCTCACAGCTCATTTACATCCACTTTCAGTGAACAGTCTCACAGATTACATCTGATAAATAAATGCCATATTTCCCTAAAGTTTGCATACAGCTACTTACTCACTTATCCTCGTCTGTGCCTCTGCGTGCAGGTCACAAGGCTGCTTTGACCTCCCATTGAGCAGCAGGCAATAAAACATGAAAAGCAGCACACAGATAACCCCGAGTATCAAACAAGTGAGCTGCCATGCTGGAATGCCCATGTTTGGCTAACCCTTTGCTCCTGGTAGCTTGGTAGCCCAAAGAGGGATGCTAGGGACTTAGCAGGCGTACTACCTTATAAGGTGCAGCTCATGTGTCCAGCCAAGCTTACCGTTTACACCAAAATGGTGACATGTCAGGAGGAGCATCCATGTGTGGCTACTGGCACACGGGCTCTGCAGAGCAGGTGAAATCAGCATCCTGCATCATTTCTGACACTTTTCACAGTTTAAACTGAGAACAGGTCAGCCTGGAATTATTGTTAATGACGAATAACAGATTCAGGGTCATGCAGAAGGCCATTAGTTCCTAATTACACCTCATAAAATAGAACATTTCTTTTGTCTTGACACAAAATAGCCACCTGTTGGAGATTCATCTACTGAACATTTCTGCAGGTTTAGATGCATCCACACAGGTGTAACTCACTGAGCAAGGCAGCAGCTGTAGGTTGGCATCAAAACTGTGGGAGTGAAATTAAAGAGTACTCACCGTTCAGGGCTTCAGTCCTCAGTGCAGGATGCAGGCTGAGCTCCAGGGAAATGAGACTCTCATATCAGGTAAATGAAGTGATGGTGATGATGAGGATGAAGATGATGATGTCCTTCCTCCTCCCCTGGCATTTAAATCAGCCGCGATACCTGGGGGTGGAGCCGTTGGGCTCCTGCCTACCTCCTATCCAAAGTTAGCAGCAGGTCTTCATTCAGCCAATCAAACGAGGTTCAGTCAGTCTGCCTTCAAATTAAGAGCCCACGGTTGTTCTGGCTCAGCTTGATGACATGTATCTGCTAAAGTGATAACAAAATTGAGTTGGTTATTAGAGGTGCTGGAAAGGGCCTACATTTCAGGATTTTTCAGCACTTCCTTATTTTGTGCCGACAACACACTGGGAATTCATAAATTAAGCTGTTAAAACTAACAATATAGAAAGTATAGAAACTTGGCTTCACTTTAGTATGTTGCACACATGGACTGTACATAAAAGATGGACATGGTCTCTATGACTTCACCTCAGTGGTGGAGCGGGGGGGAGGAGGGGAGGGGCTTACTGGGCTTAAGCCTGGGTTGTTTTTTCAGAAGCCCGGGTGTGTCAAATGTCTGCCTCCGCCTCTGCTTCACCCATTGGTTTTGAACTCCTTCATGTCACAGATAGGCCACGCCCCCAATAATGCAAACTTTAAACCTTCATGCAATTTAAGCAGGTGAGTTATACAAACATTCTTCCTTGTATATCGGTTATGATAGAGACCAAAATTGTTTTATTTCGGGCTGTAAACATTTTTATTTCTGCTGTAAAGTTTCAACACATGAGTCTGCAGGAACTCAGGAGTCTCCAGTGGACATTAGAGGAACTGCAGGTTTCGTCTTCTTAAAAAAACATAATGTTTTCATCCCACTGTTTTTGTCAGAAACTCCGAGATTAAGCTTTTATGAGAATCACAAATTTAAAAACACTTTTATTAGATCAAACTGAATAAAAGTCCATAAAATATTTTAAACTGGCTCCACACCTGAAACCCTTCTCTGTGTAAACTTAGGTCATTCACACAGTTTAAAATCATGCAAATCATTAAGTTTTATTGACGTTTTAAACAGTGTCTCAAATTTAAATAGCAGACACATCTGGGCTAGTTTTAGCACTGATGGCTCAGTTACATCTAGTCCAGACAAGTGTCAAAGGTCACGAGGAGAGAATAACTACGGGTTACAGTGAGCCGGACGTGCAGACATAAAAAACAAGTCTCCATCTTTGTTCTTAAAACAAAAAAACTAAAATAAAACGATTATTGTGTCTGAATCTGTTTCTCAATAATACCATCATTTTACTTTTCTTTGCTTTTTCTTTGCTTCATGAAAGTCCAAATTCAATCCTTGCCAGACTATTTCAGTTCTTATTCATTTATTTAGATCATTTATTTTCATTATGATCATAGTTTAAGGAAATCCACTTTATGAAAAAGACAAATTCCTGGATTTTTCCTGGATATCCATCCTTTGGCAATCCCTATTTTTAACCAGTTTTATTAACCGGGGTTTTATTTAATTAAGCTTAATTGACATTTTTGTTTATCAGATGGTCAGAAACATTAAGAATGGCTCAAAAGAGTGCGCCAAAACATAATAATAATCAGGCTACTGTATGTGATCAGGAAGGTTTATGTGCACAGTTAACTCTATAGTCTGCAGCACAGACTGAAACAGTTTTGTGAATTTAGTAATAAGTGATGGGGCTGTCACTGTGTTTTTTCCTCTTCTAAAAATTGGCACTGACAGACAAAAGTGACTGAAATGATTACATTAATCCTGCTTTTGCATTTATTTTGAAAGGTTTACGCGCGTCAAGAAAATCTTGACTCCTGCTGGCTTGCCGTAGTCTATTTCCATGGTGACAACAGTAAACAAGAGCGCCGTTATCTGATTAAATTAAAAGTTTCTCTGTTTCTCTGTTTCTGGCCCGAAGGCTCAAATGTCCGTTCAGGCGGATCCTCCGGAGCAGGAGGAGACTGATCTGCCTTTCATCGTGTTTGAAGGATCCTCCCCGGAGGATGTGTCCCACGCCAGGCAGCTGTGGGGCTCCCTGTCCCTGCTGCCGCCGCTGGAGTCGCGGCTGGTGTCGGCGGATATCCGCCAGAGGCTGCCGGTGTCTCGGCCGCAGCGCAGCGGCAGCACCGCCGCCGCCGGTCCCGCTCCGGAGCCGCAAAGAGTCCCCGATCCCCGGCAGAGGCAGGAGGAGAGGCAGCGGTACGCGGCCATGGGCGACCAGAGGAAGGAGATCCTGGCTCTGCTGAGGAGGCAGAGGGAGCGGAGGATCCAGAAGGAGCTGCTCTCTGTGGCCTTCAAGCCCAAAGGGAAAGTCGGCAGAGAAAACAAAGGAAAAGAAAAGCCTGAGGAGGACTCTGAGGAGGACTCTGAGGAGGACAGGGAGCTGGTCAGGCAGCTGTGTTTGAGATAAACTGCAGGATTAGTTTAAAGTGTTCAGACAACAAAACGTCTCTCACACACACTGCCTTAATATATCAAAACCAGTTTATCCTTATGACTGCTTCAGTATGGGCACACTATGGGAAAAACAGATATGTAAAGCAGTGTAAAAAAGTATTATAAAGGGGAGCCAAACAGCTCTGGTGGCGACTAAATAATATTTCAAATACTGATCTGCCGACGATCCTGTGGAACAACCGGAAGTCACAAAAAATGGGACTAAAGTGGTTAAAAATTGAATGAGGGAGACCAGTTTCCTGTTTCTTTTTCTAAAGAATGCACTTCTGTAAATATAGTTATATAATATTAGATAACATTATGCAATAAAAGCTGCTATCCTAATTAAATGGTTCATGTCTTCTGTTCTATTACAGGTGTTCCTCAGGGATCCATTCTGGGACCTCTTTAATTCACTGGGCTGATAACATTCAAAGCCGGTGATTTTAAAGTATCTCTGGTCATTAAAATGTTTCATTTTTGTTTAACTAAAAAAATGAACCACATTACATTTATATGCAAAGAAGATGCTTTATAGGCCACAATATTTTTGAGTAGTCACCAGCAGCCCATCTAAGTTTAGGGGGTGAGTGTTCGATTAACATCCACTGCTGTTTGAAGAATTCTGTAAGGGGGGAACATGTATGGTTTTTATCCACATAGATATTTCCACCCAACAGCATCACTTTCATTGAAGAGACATGCCATATCACACACTTTTACAAGTTTTATAAGCTTGTATGATCTAAGTCTTACCAGATTTTATTTAAAATTTAAAACGCACTCTTTATTGGAAAGGTAACAACCTCTGCTTTCTAAAAATATTCCTAAATGTCATGGACAAAAATAAAACCCATTTATTCTGCTGATGAGCTGAATAAGAAACTATATCTGCTAATTAGCTTCACACAGAGAACAGATGAGGTGTGTTTTGTAGTTTTAATCTGATTTTTTATGTAAATAAGAATAATCTGATTGTGTTTGAGTGTTGGACTGATGCTGGTGTCAGACACAGCAGCTTGCTTCAAACAGCATTACATAATGTGATGTGAAGCCTGTGTGGATATTCAAATTCCAAATGTCCAGTGGAGAAGGGCCGACCATAATAGGATAAGAAGAGTCCTGCTGACTGTTGACTTGAGCTAATTTGGTTAAAGTGTTCAAAGCGCACAGAAGCCCATCGCCTACAAACACTCTTTAACCTCTCAAACCCAGATTGTGAGAGTAAGTCACTCTTAAGTGACTCTAAAGTGATCCTCCACTCAAAATCCAAGTATCCGAGTATCAATAATGCCCTTCAGTGCCCTTCAGTGCTGGCTGTAATAAGAACGTTTTCTTTTATGGCATTGTTGAAGCTTTAATATTGGATGTTGTGGAGATCCTAATGCGACCCAATCTTACCATAACCTTTGACAGAAGTTCGGTGAGGGCTTTGTTGCTTTATTACTTCTTCTTATGTCCTGTTATTGGATTTTCAGTCATCTGTGAAGTACTTTGAAGTTCACCAACCTGCTTGAAAGGTGCTTACAAGTATGATTCATTATTTCTCAAAGAGACCATTATGAACATCAACAGGCTCTGTATAATAGCTCACACAGTTTATATTAGATATGTGAGGTTTCAAAAACACTTCTCCT